AATAATGAAAACCATGATAAAAGAAGCATCTGATTTCTTAAAGAGGCAGTATCCTACAATGGAAAGAAAAGTCATGGAGCTAGAAGTCAGACCAGTCAAAGGACCTAGATCCAAATCCTGGCTCTCCAACCTACTGCTTCTGTGGTGCTAGGTAAGTTAGTTCACCTTTCCTCTTCTGTAAAATGAGGGGGTTGGACAAATACCCCCTAAAGTCCCTTCCAGCTCTAGACCTAAGACTCAAGGGTCTGGAGCCATTCAGACATGCCCATGTATCTCGGAGCCAGTCCAAGCTGCACCATTTGAGGGTCTGCCATCATTGTTTCATGCTTCTCACCCCCCAACACCACCACTGTAGTCATTTTGGCGAATGCTGCATTAGCCATGTGGACTGTCGGATGGTTTCTGCTGTATTTTGTTGCCCTTTCAAATATTTCTTAAATAGAAGATTGTACCATCTGGTGGACAATCTGCCTGTGTGCTATCTCACCTATCACAGTGCCACTTCCATTCCTTGTGGATGTGGTGAGGGAAAGAATGAGGGGAGACGGGCTGTTCAGTCCAGCTTCTGCCACTGTGTTCCTCCAAACCCCAGCCTTTGGGTGCACCCTTTCTCCTCTCCCATTTGCCTGCTTCTGCCTGGGCTTCTTCACAATGGTTTGCTGGCAACCGAGCAGATGTTTCTCCCATACTAAGCCCTGCCCATTACTCATGATACTTCATGGAACAGATGTCTCCAGAGAAAGACTTTCTACTCTTTCAAACCCGCTCCTGACGCTTTATCTGCAGGTGCACTGAATTGTGGTGCTATCATCTTTAGTAAAGGAATCTGGGGACAAGGGGCTTTGGAAGTTTAAATATTGCTAAATAATTAGGGGAGCTAAAATCTTCAAAATATCCATGGGACATGATGCATCCTTGTCTCCAAAAGAGAAAAAAGAAGGAAGGAAGGAAGGAAGGAAGGAAGGAAGGAAGGAAGGAAGGAAGGAAGGAAGGAAGGAAGGAAGGAAGGAAGGAAGGAAGGAAGGAAGGAAGGAAGGAAAGAAGGAAGGAAGGAAGGAAAGAGGGAAAGAGGGAAAGAAGGAAGGAAGGAAGGAAAGAAGGAAGGAGGGAAGGAAGGAAGGAGGGAAGGAAGGAGGAAGGAAGGAGGGAAGGAAGGAGGGAAGGAAGGAGGGAAGGAAGGAGGGAAGGAAGGAAAGAAGGAAGGAAAGAAGGAAGGAGGGAAGGAAGGAGGGAAGGAGGGAAGGAAGGAAGGAAGGAAGGAAGGAAGGAAGGAAGGAAGGAAGGAAGGAAGGAAGGGCAGAATGATTTTATTAAGAATCTACGTGTGCCAAGCATTTTACTAAGTGCTTTATAAATATTATCTCACTTTATTCTCACAACAACCCTGGGAAGTAGGTGCTATTATTATCCTCGTTTTACAATTGAAGAAACTGAGGCATATAGCAGTTAGGTTGCCTGAGGTCACATAGTTATTAAGCATCTGAGACCAAATTTGAACTCAGCTCTTCCTTACTCCAGTCTTAGTGCCCTACCTACTGTGCCACCTAGCTGCCCTAAAATTGACAAATGTTTCTTCAGGAAGAAAGAAAAATAAATTATTTTTATGGACCCAGGTAAAGAAATTTCATGCCATTCTTTCCTTTTATCATTATCCTATAAACACTGGAAGTTCCCAGGGGAAAATGTAGAATTCTCTGTATTTAAATAAATATAGCTCATTTCTAGAGTGCTTTCCTCACCCCTAGTCCTGTGCAGTTGAAAGGCATGGGAGGAAGTATTGATGCCATGGAAAGTGCACTGGATTTGGGGTTCTGGGATGAGCTGGACTCAAGCCTCAGCTTTTGCCACATGTATGGCACTGGGCAAATCTCTTAAGCTCAGTTTCTTCATCTGTAACATGAGACAGTTGAACAAGATAACCTTGGAAGGTCCCTTCTAACTCCATTTCTATGTTCTTGTGAAATGCAGGCAAATTACTTGATGTAGATAGGAAATATGAGTATTGCTATCCCAATTTTACAAATAAGAAAACAAAGCCACAAAAGGGCTAAGCGATTTGCCCAGTAATAAGTGGCTGAGCCACTATTCAAATGCAGCTCTTCTCAAATTAAGGCCTATACTCATTCAACTACCCCACACTACCTCTCACCTAAAGATTACAGGCTTCTAGGATCATAGGTTTCAGAGTTGAAATTGGCTGTTAAAATGATATTCCAGTGGGAGGCCCTGTGGTACTGAAGAAAGAACACTAGCCTTGGAATCAGGATTCCTGAAGTTATACCAGTTCGAGCTGCTAAGCAAGGAGTAGCTTTCAACCCTGTCCAACTAGATGGTGCAGTGGATAGAGTGCTGAACCTGGAGTCAGGAAAGACCTGAATTCAAATGTGGCCTCAGATCTACTTGTATGAACCCTGGGCAAGCCACTTGACCTTGTCTGCCTCAATTTCCTCATCTGTAAAATGAGTTGGAGAAGAATATGGCAAACCATTCTAGTATCTCTGCCAAGAAAACCCCAAATGGGATTACAAAGAGTTAGACATGGCTGACACCACTGAACAAGGAAGTTGAATGCTAGAGCTAAGAGTTCTGCAGATGATAGGAATGCAGAAAGATCTAGGGGACCCTCCACCATTTAAAATGAGGACGAATCTATTCATCAAAGCCCCTGGCACCAGCTGTTACACGGATTGCCATGGCATCACGATTAAGAAGGATGCTGCCTTTCTGTCACCCCCTGAGTTCCATCTCGCTACTGTTAGATACCCAGCCAAGAGAGTGCTAGCCACGTAATATCCCAGCTCCCTGTTCCTAAGGGCAAAAGAGTGGGAGAAACAAGGGCACACTTGACTTCAGCAATGGGTCACCACATGGTGGGAAACAGCTACAAAATTCCCCCATGTTAACAAGTGCAGAGATTGGGGCAGGCTTCATGTAGGAGGGATAGCTTCATGCAGCTGAATGTCAAAGGAACTTTGGGATTTGGGGAATTTATGAAATGAATGAGGGAGTACATTCCATTCATATGGAAGAGCCTCTGAAAAGGTACTGAGAGAAGAGCTGGAATTGCTGTAAAGGAAATAGTAAGGAGGTAAGTGACTCAAACCTCTTACAAACCTCTACCACCAAGCAGGAAACAAATGCCTTGACAGCAACTATGGTTCAATGGAAAGAACCCTGGTTATGAAGGTAGAGGACCAGGGTTTGGTACATGTGCAGCATCGGGCAAGTCATGTAACTTCTTTGTGACTCAGCTTCTTAATCTGTAAAATAGGAATTAAATAGTACCTATGCTACATATTTGTAGGGTTGCTACAAGGTTCAAAAGGACTACTACATGTAAATATGGATGCATATATGTACATATACACATATATATGTGTACGTGTATGTATGTGTGTGTGTATTCACACACACACAGATACACACACAGAGCAAAACAGAGACAGAGAGAGAAAGAGATTCTCAAACTATAAAATAATACATGAAGGTTAGCAATTATTATACTTTGTCTACATCCCTACAGTGCCTAAAACAGTGTTAGGCACACATAGTAGGTACACAGTAATAACAACCACAGACTCTTTGAGCTTTAGATCTGGAAGAGAACTTGAGGATCATCCAATCAAAACCTCATCATTTTACAGATGGGGAAAGAAGCCCGGAGAGGGGAGGTGACCTTAGGGTCTCCCTCCCAACTCTTGACAGTTCAGTCTTCATTCCACCATGTTATATGGCCTCATTACTTAATGACTTCATTTAAAATGGGACTTTATTATGCAATCTCTTGGAGATCATAAGACCACAGACCAGATGACCATATGATCATCCATTTAAAAATAGAAGGTACTCAGAGGGCACAGACAGAAGCTCATAACACTCTCAAGTGCAACCCAAACCAGATCAAAATGGAATTAGGAAATGTTTAACAAAATAAATAAAATACAATAAAACAGATATACTATATTTTCAAACTGAGTCAATATGTGGCCCAAAAGGATCCTTGGGCCCCAATTCTATTTGACACCACCGAACTAGTCCAACCTCATTTTACAGATGTCCAAGGTCAAACAGGTAGCAAGTGACAGATCTGGGACCTGAATAGAGGTCCTCTGACCCCCAAACCAGCACTCTTTTCTCTGTACAAGTAATTTCCTCTGTTAAGTAATGACAGAAGACACAATGATGATAAAAGTTCCTTATAACATGTAATAAGAGAAGGATTCAGAGTGAAATCTCCTTTCTATTCCTGGTCTTCCTATTTTTAAAAAATCTTCCAAATCTATTTTTCTTTGTCCTTTTTCATTCTGAAAACATTTTGAAATTTTACTCCCTTCTAATCCAATTCACTTCTGTGAATCTCTTTTAAATCCCTACTATGTGCAAGGTCCTGTTTTGATGACAGTCTGGCATTTCTGACTGAAGAAGAAAATATTCATCAGGAAACACTTCTTTTTTAAAAGCAAAATGTGAAAAGCAAAGCCAACAGCTTGGTTCCTACAATCATATCCGGCACATAAAGCACCTCAGATTGGGACTTCATTCAGAAAGCAGCTTCAAGAAGGGGAGAACTGACAGTTTAGAGACTTTGGTTCAACCCAGGAAAGCTTCATGTCCAAGACATCAAGGCAAAGATCTCCAGAGCTGTGAAGGGAGAGAAGTGGGCTCTACCACCCTGCAAAGATGATTAGGACCAGCTCCAGAAGCAATAGTTCTGCTACTCATTTGCTCCTTGTCCACACTTGACTATTGTAAGATAATCCCTGTATTACTGTTCCCTTAGCCATCTTTTCTTCCACAACTCCCTAAAAAAAAAAAAGTGCGGCTTTACTTTACAGCTAATTTGCTGTAATCACATTGCCCAGAAAAGAGCACAGCTGCTCACAATGAAGAAAGAGAAAATGGGAACAGAGGGAACCTTATAATGAAGTGGGGGTGGGGGGAGCAGTAAGGGGGTGGAAAGAACTGTTAGTTGCTGTTGGAGTCATTTGAGACAAGGGAAAAACAGGAGTAGGTTAGTGTGTTGACCCTGAGCCTTGGAATGGATGAAAATGGAAGGAAAAAGCAACCAAAGAGTAAACTCTTTTGCGTAAGTTAAAACTTAAGGTTTTTAAAACCCTTACCTTTTTAGCATTGTTATAGATATATATACACATCTATACATACATACACACATACACATATATACACACACACACACATATATATACATATATAATACATACACACACACAAATCTGGTGTTAATCTTATTTCCTCAACACTACTCTTACAGTTGGCCCAGGGTTTGAAGGCAAGGGTCTACTCTCAAAATGAAGAAAGAAATTGTCTGCTCTGGTGGTTTGACCAAATCTAATCTAATGAATATTTATTAAGCACTTCGTATATGGAAGAAACCATGCAAAGTACCATGCCAGACATTGGAGATGCAAAGACAAATCACAACAGTCCTGCTCCTGCCCTCAAGGAATTAGTATTCTACTTGGGGGATAGATACAATATGTTAACAAACATACACACACACACACACATACACACGCATGCATGCATGCATGCATGTAAATACACAAAGCACATATACATGTATATGCCTATGTATGCACATATACATACATGTGTATACATATATGCATGCACACAAGCACATATCTATTTTATGTATGTGCATGTAAATATACACGTTTATATATACATGTATAAATCATGCATATCTACATCTATACATTGTATATGTATAATTGCGTGACTATACATTATATGTGCACGTGTGTGTATGCATGTTGTAAAATCACGTGTGCATGTTGTGATTTTTGTGCCTGTACGAATGTGTTGTACATATATGTATAGTTATGCGATTATGTGCATATATGTGTGTGCATGTATGAGTGCATGTACACATGTGCCTAGCATTATTCAATGTTACATGAATGTTAGTTGTTATTGTTATTATTGTTATATATAAAAATAATTATTTGAGGAGGAAGGAGAGCATACTCACAATTAAAGGAATCAAGAAAGGTTTCCTGGGGCAGCTAGGTGGCTTAGTGGATAGAGCTCTGGCCTTCTAGTCAGGAGGACCTGAATTCAAATCCAGCCTCAGATACATGATACTTACTAGCTGTGTGACCCTGTTCAAGTCACTTAACTCTGATTGCCTCACCAAAAAGAAAAAAAAAAGGAAAAAGAAAAGAAAAAGAAAGGTTTCCCTAGGAGAAGGCTCATAGCAGAACCTTGAAGGAAGCTAGGAATTTGAAGAGAAGATGAAGAGGGAGTGTAGTCCAGTACTGGGCGACAGAATCCATAAAGTTACAGAGTTGGGAAACAGAGCTCAGAGACTGGGGAAGAGCAAGTGCATCAGTTTCCCTGAGAGGCAGAGAATATAAAGGGAAATAATGTGTCATAAATCTGAAGGTGGGCTGCAACCAGAATGACTGAATACATGAGCCAATATTTAAAAAGAAATTGTTAGGGATTCTTGAGAAAACTACAAACTAAAGCTTGGAGTTAGAATTTTGCCTGTTTCATCTTTACAAAACTACATTCTTTAAAATGGGAAAGTGCATATTCCTTCGATGCCTGACATTATTTCTCTGATACTTTGGCATATTCCCTCCTCTCTGCATTCCCCCAAGAATTATTCACACCTTAAAGGAGGAAGAAGGGGAGGGGGCAGGTTTAGGAGTTAATACTTTTGTGCTTTTGCAAACTACAGAATATAAAATTCTTATGGAAATGACTTGAACAATTTCTAGAGCAAAGGGCTTTAACAATGTTGCTATGAAGAAAAAGCTTAGGAGTTAGAAGAGAAAATAAATAGGTTTAATATTCGGCTTAAAATAAATGTTCTGAGTTGGTCTGTATGATAATAGTGCCAAAATAATTAATTTGCCCCTGGCCCTCTCATTTGTCAATAAGAGTGGGTTGGTAGGGGTTTAAGGCTGTGGGAAAACTGTAAAAGATGTGCCCTGTCATCATTTTAAAGTTCAGGGCTCTCTTTGCTCTCTCCCTGGCGAATTCAAAGCAAAACTCCCTCTAGTTCAGAAGAGAGCTCAGAAATCTTCCGCTCCTGCACAAAGTGCTCCTAAAATACAAGGCATGACAACTGCCTTCCACTGAAGGGGCTTCCTCATCTTCCTGTATTCCCCATGTTTGCTTTTTATTCTGGTCTTCAGGAGATTTGTAAGGGAAAAAAATTTATATCACTAATTGATGATGAGGGATTGCAGGAGTTATAGGTGGAATTCCTAGAATAGGGATGAAGGGCAAGGAAACCAAAGTTCCTTGGTTTTAGTTCCAAGACAGTTGATTATTTATATGATGACTTGGAATAAATTCTTTAAACAGTAACGACTGTACTAGAATATTGTATTAGGCATAATGGGGCATTAAAAAGAATTTAGAAAATATATCCCACGGCTTCAAGTTGTTTATAATCTAATAAATGGTAAAGAAATGCATAAAAGGGATATAGAGCTTTTAGACAGATACAGCCAGGAAATGGGTCCATTTGTAAATTGTCAGGCAGATGAGTTTTCTAAGATCTCTGTCTTTTATGGATTACTGGAGGAGGAGGAGGAGGAGGCAGGGAACAGGGGGAGAAGGTAGGGAGGGTGTCTCTCACTGTCATATAATCCTTTATTCAGTAATATAGAAGTTACACATGGCCACAGTTCAGAAAGCGCCTACATTCCCAGGTGCCCAGACCTTGAGAGGGATAAGCATGCAGCCCGCAGGTCAGCCAGGCCTTCAGCTCACTTAGAAGATGACTGAAGCCAAAGCACTGGCTTATTCCTCTATAGCCCCTGCCACAACTAACCCAGTCCTGAGGGGGTTGGGACATCCTCTAAACCTCTGGGTGCCTCAGCTAACTAGTTAATAGAGGCTACATTCCCAGAAGATTTGTTAATTAAGCCATTGTTATACTTAAATGTCTGAATTAATAGTAGGGACTGGGGTGTGGAGAAATGGTGTGATTTAAATGGCCAAACTTCTACTCTGCTGTCAATTCACACCCACCCACTCCTGGCCTCAGGTACAACCATTGATGGAAGCAATGGGAAGTAGGATGTCCAGAAAGGAAAATTCTTTTTTTACTTTTTATTTTTATTTATTTCATTAAATCTTTCCCAATCACATGTAAAACAAAATTTTAACAATCATTTTTTGAAATTTTGAGTACCCAATTCTCTCCCTCCCTCTTGCTCCTCCCCTATCCTTGAAAAGGCAAGCTATTTGATATCTCTTATATCAAAGTTCATGCAAAACATATTTCCATATTAGCTATGTTGCAAAAGAAAACAAAATAAAATAATAAACATAAAATAAAATAATAAAAATGAAGTAAAAAAGTATGCTTCAGAGTTCATCAGTTTTTTCACTAGAAGTAGATAGCATTTTTTTTTATCATAGGTCCTTCAGAACTGCCTTGGTTCATTGTCTTAATCAGAGTGCTAAATCGTTCACAATTGACTATCATTACAACATCGTTAACGTGTACAATGTTCTTCTGGTTCTGCTCATTTCACTTTGCATGAATTCATATGTCTTCCCAGGTTTTTTCTGAAATCATCCTGCTCATCATTACTTATAGCACAATAGCATTCCATCACAATCATGTACTTTTTTCAGCCTTTCCAAAATTGATGGGCATTTTCCTCAATTTCCAACTCTTTGCCACCAGGAAAAAAAAGCTCCTATAAATATTTTTGCACAAATAGGTCCTTTTCCCTTTCTGATTGTTTTGGGATATAGATCTAGTAGTGGTATTGTTGGGTCAGAGGGTGTGCACAGTTTTATAGCTCTTTGGGTGAAGTTTCAAACTATTCTCCAGAAGAGTTGGACTGGTTCACAACTTCACCAACAATGCACTGGTTTCTCAGTTTTTCCACATCCCTCCAGCATTTGTTATTTTTCTTTTCTGTTATGTTGGCCAATCTGATAGTTTTGAGGTGGTATCTCAGTTGTTTTCATTTGAATTTCTCTAATCAATAGTGATTTAGAGCATTTTTTTCATGTGATTGTAGATAGCTTTGATTTCTTCTTTTGAAAACTGCCTGTTAATATCCTTTGACCATTTATCACCTGGGGAATGGCTTTTATTTTTATAAATTTGGCTCAGTTCCCTAAAAGTGAAAATTCTTATGATGCCAGGCCTCTAGAAAATTTTCTGGGAACAACTGGTCATTGTTCTTCCTTTACCCTCCCAAAAGCAAGAATTGCAGTTTAACCCAGAGACCACTGGAGAAATGGACGAACGACAAATAATTTGAGATCATGCCACCCTGAAAGTCACAGGATCGCTGAGTCTCAGAATTAGAAGAAATCTTAGAGTTCATTTAGCCCATCTCCCTATCCAAAGCATAAAGACCCTTTAAGAAACTCAGAAAATAACAGTCTAATTTGGGCTTCAGCATATTACTTCTCATCTTCACTAAATACACACTCAATCTTTTGTTACTCCCTAGACTTGTCACAATTACCAATCTGTGAGTGATTTTCTTTTCAAATGGGTCATTTGAATCCTGGGAAATTTTAGATCCTTTAAAGAGCAAAGCATAAATTTTACCCTACCATCACTTACGAAAACCTCATTTCTACCCTTAAAATAACATACAATCCACTTGAAACTGAGTCCCAACCAAAAAGCTTCAAGATCATGTTAGCATCAATCAATCATTATCTTATTCTCCAGAGGAGCTTTACAGGGCAGAATAAGAGAATAATAAAATTTTGAAACTCTAAATGATCTCAGAGATCTTCCAGTCCAGCCCTCCTCTTTTACCGCTACAATAAATAAATAAATAAACAAACAAACAAACAAACAAACAAACAAATAAATAAATAATAAATAAATGAATGAATAAATGAGTAGATGATTGAATAAATGAATAAATGAATGAATAGATAAATAAATGAATAAATGAATAAATGAATAAATAAGTAAGCAAGTAAATAAATAAATAAATGAATGCATAGATAAATAAATAAATAAATGAGTGAATAAATGAATGAATGAATGAATGAATGAATGAATAAATAAACTTCAGCATAAGGAAGCAACCTCACAGCAGGTCACAGGTAGGCAGCTTA